CTTGTCCCTGGGGGCGGGGCTTGCTCCGGGCCTTATGTTTAGGAGGTGACCAGGGACGCATGCTCCACAACAACCAGAAGCCTGCCCCCTGCAGCTGACAGCCTGCACTGCTGGGGCGTCCGGAGGCCCCCTGTTTGGTTGTGGTCACTTTCCAGGGACGTTAGGAGGCTGGGAGTCGCGAGGCAGCTGGGAGTGTGTGGAAGGGAGCGTGGTATCGACCTGCTCAGAGCAGCGATCTGACCTTCACGCGGTCTCTCTCGCCACAGGAGGGCGTGAGCATCAACAAGTCCCTGCTGACCCTGGGCAAGGTCATCTCCGCGCTGGCGGAGCACGGGGGCGGCCGGAGAGCGTTTATTCCCTACCGGGAGTCGGTCCTGACCTGGCAAGTGTCTTCCGAACTTTATTTTCTACATTATTTTCAAAAATAGATTTTTATTAATGTCAGAGAGGAAGGGAGAGGGAGAGAGAAAATCCACGATGAGAGAGGATCATGGACCGGCTGCCTCCTGCCCGCCCGCTACTGGGGAGGGAGCCTGCAACCCGGGCCTGTGCCCGGACCGGGATCGAACCCGGGACCCTTCCGTCCGCTCTCTCTGCTGACCCAGGGCCCCTGGACATTTTCAGCGTTTGCAGAGCTCCTCCCCCCTCTATGGGTCGTGGTGGCCCCAGGAATGGGTGACCGCGCCGTGGAGGGTCTTCCCCACAGTGGCTCCCTGTGCGCGCCCGCTACTGGGGAGGGAGATGGGGAGATGGTGGGGGAGATGGGGAGATGGCTGCTGGGGGCTGTGGGGCCGAGGCGAAGGCTGACCCTGTCCCCCTCCCCCGCAGGCTGCTGAAGGAAAGCCTGGGCGGCAACTCCAAGACGGCCATGATCGCCACGGTGAGCCCGGCGTCCAGCAGCCTGGAGGAGACGCTGAGCACCCTGCGCTACGCCCGCCAGGCGCGCAGCATCGTCAACCGGGCCCGGGTGAACGAGGACGCCAGCGCCCAGCTCATCCGCGGTGAGCGCCCCGCCCCGCCCCGCCCCTCCCCTCCCCTGCGCGCGGGCTCCGCTGCTGCAGCAGGTCCTCCCGGATGACAGTTCGGGCGACTGACGGACGGACGGACAGACGGGCGTGTGCGACTTAAGGATGGTTTCCGGGGCCTGTTTATGGTGACCTTGGCCGGCACCTGCGGTGGTGGAAGGCAGCGAGGGACCCGGGAGGGAGCGTGAGCCGTGAGGGCCGCCTCCCGGGCCTCAGTCCCGGTGCCATGGCCCCCTCCCCGGCCCGGCTCGGCCGTGGCAGCAGCAGGAGCGGGGAGGTGCCGGGCTGGCCGCACAGGGGCGAGCTGCTGTCTCGGTCCATCCTCTCACACGGGGCCTTTCTCGTGAAAGTCAGTGTGTGCTTCCCGCTTGCACACCTTTGCTCTGCGCCGGCAGGTCCCGCGTCCGCCTGTCCCGCGGGAGCCATAGCCCCCTCCCCGGTGTCCCGCTTGGGCACCATGCCCTCCTCCCCGGGCGGGCAGCTCCTGGACACGGAGCGCTCCGGGCAGGGCGGGGGAGGCAGGCGCGGAGGCACCGCAGGGGCAGTGGCCTCGATCCTGCGAAGATCCCGGTTCCCTGGGGAAGGTGTAGAACTCCCAGCGCGGTGGGAATTGGAGGGCCACGCCGGCCGCGGAGATGATCCTGCATCAGTCGTGCGTCTTCTTATCAATATTTAGAATTGAAAGCAGAAATCGAGAAGCTGAAAGCTGCCCAAAGAAGCCGTCAGAACATCGACCCTGAGCGGTACCGGCTCTGCCGGCAGGAAATCACGTCCTTGCGAATGAAGCTGCACGAGCAGGAGCGCGCGATGGTGGAGATGCAGAGGTGGGGGGGCCGAGGGCCGGGCGGGACCAGGGGCTGCAGGACCAGGGGCTGGAGGGGGCGGGGTCAGATGGGTGGGCGGGGCCTGGCGTGCAGCCTCCCCCTTCCTGTCCCCCCGGCCCCCCAGGTGAGCAGCTGCCCACCCCCAGGCCATCTCCTTTAATCCCAAGCGGTTTCATAATCTTCGTTGATTGTCTGTTGACTGTAAACCATATATGTGTGTATGTATTTTTAACCACGAATTCTGTTTGTTTTTGGAAAGAGCGTGGAAAGAAAAATTTGAACAGGCTGAACAAAGAAAACATCACGAAATCAAGGAGTTACAGGTATGAGCTCAGTGTCCTAACTGATGTTGGCGGCAGAGAAGGGTGCCAGCGAAACGCAGATTAAACCTGTCGATTACGCGCTGGACCTGTAGGAAGCAGGGCCCAGAGAGGGTTAGTGTAAAGCCGTGTGGAGGCCAGGGTGGCGCTTGGAATGTGAGGGGCATCGGGCCGTCCCACGGAGAAATTAACGACCTTAACTGAGAGCGCTGGGTGGAGAGAAGCCTTTCACCTGGACCGCTCATCTCAAGCCCATCTCACAGTCACGCTGTGGCCACGGTTCTGCTCATTTCGAGGGCATTTAGCAGTCACGCTGTGACCACGGTCTCTCCTCCCTCCGGCTTCAGAAAGCAGGAATCACCTTCCAAGTGGACGACCGCCTGCCGAACCTGGTCAACCTGAGCGAGGACCCACAGCTGTCGGAGACGCTGCTGTACGTGATCCGGGAGGGCACCACCGCGGTCGGGAAGCGCGGCCCCGCCTCCCGCCCCGACATCCAGCTGTCCGGGGCGCTGGTGGCCGACGAGCACTGGTAGGTCAGCCTTCTCGGAATCGAGGGCCCCTGGCCGTTGTCTGCGGGTGACCGATCCGCTCACGGGAGGCACGCGTGTGCCCTGAATCCTTGGCGTGATCCTCCCAGGGCATCTTTTACCAGGAGGAGCGACAAGGAGTGCTCCTTGATCATACAGACTCGTCCCCACTGTGGGGTCGGCTCTCCCCCCCTTTTCTATCCTGTTAGTCCAAAGACAACTTACACTCTGGGTTTCTTTCCCGTTCTCTGAATGAAAGGTGTTTTTAAAAATATATATTTGTATTGATTTCAGAGAGGAAGGGAGAGGGAGAGAGAGAGAGAAACATCAATGATGAGAGAGACTCATGATCGGCTGCCTCCTGCACGCCCCTCACTGGGAATCGAGCCCACAACCCAGGCATGTGCCCTGACCGGGAATCGAACTGTGACCTCCTAGTTCATAGGTCGACGCTCAACCACGGAGCCACGCCGGCCGGCTCAGCCAGGGGCTTTTATCTCCCCGCTCCCCCCACTCTCACGCCAGGAAAACGTTCCTTATCTGTCCCATTATCAACACTCTCACAAACCCGGAACGTTAGGAAAGCAGAACACAGGAACACTGTCCATCTGTTCCATTTAGAGGGACACCACCATCAATACTTTACTATGCTTTTCCCTGGATTTTTCTCTGTTTTCTTTGGGGGGGGGCACCTTTTCAAAAGCAGTTGTGATCAAAACACCCACAATGCACGTCTTCCTCCCTGCGGAGGGTGCGCTTGCTGGGGGCCAGGCTTTCCCACCGAAACCCAAAGTCCGCTTGGAGGCGAGTTTGTTGTTATTGTCACGTGTTGATCTGGACCTTCACCCCAAAGGAGTGACCCCCACAGGACGGCCTGTCCTGTGTCACCTCCCCCGACGCGGTCCTCTGCCCCGTAGCGGTAACTGTGTCTCCATCCCCGCAGCACCATCAGCCACGTTGACGGGACCGTGAGCATCGCCCCCGTCGGGGAGGCCAGGACCTACGTGAACGGGAAGCACGTGTTGGGGCCCACAGTGTTGCACCACGTAAGCGGGCGCTGTCAGGCAGGCGAAGGCACTGGGCTCCGGGCGGGCCGTTTGTGTATCTGCGTTCCAGTCTGAAAACGCCCTCTCCTGTGTGTTCATTAACCGCCTCCTTTCGTCTCGGCAAAGACAAGAGCCGTGTGGCTGTGGGGGGACCGGGTGAGCTGCCCACTGTCCTCATCGTGTGCCCCCAGGCCGGACGGGTGGCGCCCTGGCCCTGCCCTGTGCCCTGTGCCCTCTGTCCTCTGTCCTCTGCCCGGTGACTTTGAAAAGCTCGTGAACGGGCTGGCTGTGCATTGCCCAGGCCCGGACACCCGAGAGAGCACCGTGATGATTCCGGGGAACAGGCCTGCGGGCGCCCCATGACGCAGGCTGACCTCCTGTGTCCCTCAGTGTCAGGGGAAGGGATTCATGTGCAAGTCTTTTTTTTTTTTTTTTTAATATATTTTGATTGACTTCAGAGAGGAAGGGAGAGGGAGAAAGAGAGAGATCAGTGATGAGAGAGAATCATGGATCGGCTGCCTCCTGCACGCACCCTATTGGGGATGGAGCCCGCAACCCGGGCCTGTGCCCTGACCGGGAATCAAACCGTAACCTCCTGGGTCATAGGTGATGCTCCACCACTGAGCCACACCAGCCGGGCTTTTCCTGTGTGTGTGTGTGTGTGTGTGTCCAGCTCTCAGCACAGTGTCTGCAGGGAGAGGCTCCCCGAGCGCCCCTATTGAGTCTGTGCCCCAGGCTCCTCATTCCTGACCTCGGCAGCCACGTGACTCGGGGGTGGTTGTGACACATCCAGGAAGTGACGCGTGCAGAATGTCCCATGCCGTTCTCGGGGTAGAAAGTGCCGGATGGACGCCGGTTGCTCTGACCCGTGTTTGTCGTTAATCACACCGACCATCCTGGACCGCTGAGCAGTGGTCAGTGCCGGGCGCCTGTGCGGTCCGGACGCCCCTTCAGCGGTCGCTGTGTGTGCCGCAGGGCGACCGCGTGGTGCTCGGGGGAGACCATTACTTCAGGTTTAACCACCCGGCGGAGGTCCGGAGCGGGAAGAGGCCCCCCGGGGGAGGCGCCCCGGCCGGCGAGGGCCCGAAGGACTTTGAGTTCGCCA